CATAGGCTGCTGCTGCTTTCTCTGTGCCTTCCCCCAGCAGAGCTGCCAGGGCTCCCCCTTGCTCCCCACCTCTTCCTAAACCCTCCGCGTCTGTTCCCTTCTTAACTCGCTGTGCAGAAGCTCCCAGAGGAGGGACTCGGAGGGTTGGTAGCGTTACGTGCGTTCCTGGCTCTCAAAACTCTTCCTTTGTTCTGGTCGCAGCTAGAGTTACTCTCCCAGTCTGTGAAGGGAGGGATTTCTGTTTCCCCAGACTTTTTGAAGGAGGGTCTGAAAGTACTTAGCTGTTTTTTACGGTGGCTTGGACCTGTTACTACTCAGCAAATGGTGATATTATTTCAGTTAATGACTTAGAGCCCCACTCAGTCCCTATGCTTTTCTTCACCAAAACAGGAGGCCCAGGATCTGGTGCTCTAACTACCTTCCAAACTGTCCTTAATAGATGTAAAAAGTAATACATGCCATTGTCAGCAGAGAAACCTGAAGATATGGGTGGCAGAAACAGCAAATAAGAGACCTGTACTCTTATCCCATCTGTTCTATGTGTCTTTTCTTTTCCCCATTTCCCTACATATGGTTTGATTTTTATCTACTTGTGATGTAAACTTTTTAGTGTGGTGACTATCTCTAAGCATTTCACCTTTCTTGGCCCAGTGGGTCTCAGCAGATTGAAGTGAAAGAGTAAAGTGAAATCCATGCTTAAAACATGTTGCAGTGAAGCATAAATGATCAACGTAAAGAATAGCTGCAGCTGACAGTTAGTATGGAACTCTCCTCTTCCGTTTGACTCCAGCATCTCCCAGACAAATATCTAGTAAGTCAGTGCAGTAGTATGAATCCTTCAGGTTTTATCTCTAAAATGATTTTATTTTTCAGACCAAGAGCTAGCTATTTGCAAAGAAACATTTTAATGGTCGAAAATGCAGAACTGAAAATGTATAGCTGAAAAAGTTTGCAAACTGTTTGAACCAGCCAAAAAATTTTGTAAACAAACCCATCCATGGCAATACGATCCACAGACTCTGACTTTTTCCCCAGTTCTGTGCTTAAATATTGTTTAAGATTTCTGTAAGGAAGGTTGCTTCTGGTCAAACACCAAAACCAGGATGCTTTCTATATTCATCAAATTATGTTTTTCTTCCTGGTAAATATTTTTTAAGGACTGTAGGTAATGACAACAATTGTTATGCTACTTTATTAATATCTTCCCTCAGTGGTCCCAGAAGTGTCTCAGAGACACCCCAGTTTCTGGTGCTTTCTTGTGCTATGAAAACATATGAAATCTGGGGGAAGAGAAGAGAACGGAAATTTGTGGGTTTTCCCACTCAGAAAATGGACGAACCAATTTAGATAAAAAGAATCTGTAAACAAAAACTAGAGCAACCTGTAAATGGAAGTAAGTAGCAATCGAATGTAGGCCAGCAGCAAATTTTCAGTGTAGGGTACGGACACATCTGCCCATCATGCCAATGGTATGGCCAGTTGATGGTGTGATTTTTGGCAGCTCAAGGGCAATATCTCATGTTCCCATCACCGTTATGGCTGCATCTGGTCCTTCCTATGAATAGCAGTCCTGGGTTTTGAAGCTTACCTGTGGAAGATGGTACCAACTAAATCAAACTGCCTTCAGCCAATGCCATCATCAGCCTTTGTTCCCTGGACTTTGCCTCCTCTGTCTGCCCTGAACCCAGGTGATGGCCTCATGAGACATTGAGAAAAGTGGGAGATGTATGGTGCCTGGGGTGTTGGTTTGACTGCAGTAACTATGTGTTAGTGGCACTGTAAGGAGTTGCACACCAGACCAGACCATACCCTGTTGCAATTTTAAGGCATGATCTGATAGAGAAAGCACAGAAGGAGGGGAGAATGATGTTGAAATGAACTGAATGACATGGTCAGTGGCTGTATCTTGCTAATGTGAACGTTTGGACCAGCAGCATTTCCCAGCTCCTTTTAACCTCATATGCTGAGAGAGCTGGGTTTGTTCAGCCTTGAGAAAAGGGGGCTCAGAAGGGATATCATCACCATGTACCAGTATTTACAGGGTGGCTACAAAGAAGATGGAGACTCCCTTTTCACAAGGAGTCACCTGGAAAAGATGAGGGGGAATGGACACAAGTTGCTCTTGGGAACATTCTGGTTGAACATGAGAGGAAAATTTTTCCCAATGAGAACAGTCAACCATTGGAATAATCTCCCCAGATGAGTGGTTGACTCTGCCACATTGGACACATTCAAGACTCAGCTGGACAGGGTGCTGGGCCATCTTGTCTAGACTGTGCGCTTGCCTGGAAAGGTTGGACCAGATGATCCTTGAGGTCCCTTCCAACCTGGTATTCTATGATTCTGTGACTGATTCCTAGTTGGCTGACTTCTTGTAGAGGCTAGCCCCTTTTGGAGGGGTCCCCACTCCCTA